TTATGGTACATATCAAATATAGTCTACCTTTCTTGGAATAACATATAAAGGTGCCTCATTACACAGAAGTTTCCACTTCTATTACATATCTAAAGTGTGCTACTTCCTCTTCCATACCCAAGCACTTATCATAGACATTTTCATCAGAGCAACATATGCATATAAAAAATAATGAAAATTTTCTGACTTTTTGAAGCCCCCTACCTTTTAATACTTTCATCCCATATCCACTCAATAAACAATAATTAATTGTTTATGGTCCACTCCAAAAGTCACCTGCCTGTGAATTCTCCTGATACTCCTGAGAATAATGGGTAATTTAAACATTTATGAATCAGATTTGTGATTCTATTCTGCTTAATGTCATTCCTTATGACATGATTTTTCAGATGAGTTTAATCATGTACTTGCATGTCCTTTCTTCCTGGTGTTCCTGGGGCCCATGCTCTGCTCATATTTTTAACTTTTATGCCCCAAACATAGTTGGTTCTTCCATCTCAATCATTTGTCATTTCTACCCAAATGTTTTTGCATTTGCACATGCAGACACACACATGCAGGCACACACAAGAGAAACAATGTGCAAATAACAACCACTGAGGACTCTGCACATTGAAAGCAAAGTAAACATGGAGAGGGAAAAAACATGGGTTAAATATATGGCCCCCAAATCTAAAATTTGGTGTGGATTTAGACCAGCTTTTGGGAGCCTGTCATATCAGAGAGCAAGTATGTGTGGCTGGAAATGCCTGATGGCTACGGGACCTTCAGGGTCAGAAAATAGGGAGGGATATTATATACTATGTATAAAGTAGTAACTCATCCATCCATCTAACCTCCTTGCTTCAATGCATACTGAGAACACCTTCATGCCAGCCACTGTTCTGAATGCTCCAGATAGATAAGTAAAAGAGAAACAAAGGAAATACAGATATCAAAGATGAGCGCATCTATCCAGGAGACAAGGTTATTATTCTCATGGATCTTATATTCTAGTGAGGGAGACGTAAAATACAAACATGAAATCTCAAGTACTAATGAATACTATCAAGAAAAAAGGAGTAATATGAAGGTGGTTGTTTGTTGTTTGGGTGTCATGGAGCTGGTTTAGATCTACCACATAGGCTTTTCTAGGTTGCTCTCTTTCTGGAAGGAGTTTTTGCCAGATCTTTCTCCCACAGAACAGTGAGTTCAAACTGCCAGCCTTTTGATTAGTAGCCAAATGCTGAACCACTGTGTCAAGAGGGCTCCTGACAATATAGGAGGAAAGAGACCTATTTCATAATGAGAAATCAGTGAAGACTTCCTTAAAAGCTGGCATTTCATTCATATGAAATCAGATGAAGGAGTTGTAAGAACATAGAAACATAAAAGATCATCAAAGTAAAAGAATCAGCAAATGGAAATCAGTAGAGAGAGCATGGTGCTTGGAATATTCAAGAACAGGTATGGAGCAGCTATGATGTAACTAATGGTCTCTTCCTGTTTGGAGGAAAGATGAAAGAATTGAAGATACAATGAAACAAACAGCCCAGTGGATGAAGAGACGCATGAAGCTTGGCCGTCAGACTTGAAAACAAGAATTAAATGGTGCCCAGTTAACAATACCAACTGTTTTAGAAGGGATCGTGCCTTAGAAGATCCTGGATGGAGTGGGTGAAAAACATGGAACTCAAATTTTAAATTTAAAACAGACTTACTAGTCAGAGACTGGTAGAACCCCCAAGACTATGACTTGTAGTCACCCTTCAGATCTGGAAATGAATTCCTGTGGTTCAACTTTCAGCAAAAGGACAGGCAGGTTTTAAAGTACACTGGGGAGGTACACACAACTTAGAATAATCAACCACTTGAGATCAAAAGAATAGCACTTACTCAAGGAAAAAGTTCAGAAAGGTTAGGAAAAATAGAGGAATGGAAGCAGCCAACAGGGCAGTGAGCTACATGGTATTGCATGGACAAGATTGTAATGAGATGAAACAATCTATATATGAATTGTTGAGTGAAAAACTGAGTTGCTCGGTAAACCTTTACCCATTTCACAATAAAGTTTGTTTAAAAAAGGAAGAAACAAACAAAAACAAATGAATTTTTAAAAAGAAGAAACCGTTATAACAATGGCATAGTAACTGAAAGAGTAGGTAAGGAACATCAACTCTTAATAGTGAGGGTAACAGGCCTAGCATTTCTTTGCAATATGAGCTGCCTTAGACCTGTAGTATACAGATATGGTACTATACCGCAGTGCAGTATAAAAGTAATAATACTACAACTCAGTGGCATGTGATCCGTGTTGCACAACCATCACCATCACCCAATTCCAAAATTTTCATCACTCTTACCAAAAACCCAATAAATAAAAACTTTCCTATTTTCCCCACCCACTTGCCCTTGGTGGCCACTGGTGAACACTAATCCTTTTTAATTGGCTTTTCTGGATATTACATTCAAGTGGTGTCACACAATGTTTGGAATCTGACATTTTTAACTCAACATGTTTTCAAGGTTCATGTACATTGTGATGCATGTTAGAATGATGACTCTTTAATGGCTACGTGAATAGTCTCCATTAAATGAACTATTTATCTGCTGATGGACACTTTCCACCCTTAGATAGTGTGAATAATGCTTTGATAAAACTGCCGTACAAGTTAACCATAATAATAAATGTTACCAGATGATGATAAAAGGAAGGAAAATCAATATTCACACCCCAATGATTCTCCCAACCTCCAACTCGTTATGGCTTTCAATATAACTTCAGTATCTTATCTTTCTACAGGCTTCAACATAAAATTTAACTTTCTCTTCCAAGTTAAATTGGTGAATGGATTATACTTATTGAAATACTAAGACAGCTGCCCAGTGAATTACAATGGACCTTTAAACATCAATTCTAATGTAAAACACCACCATTTTCCCCCAAGCACCTAAATACCTAACATTCATCTTATTTCAATCCTACCCACAAATTCCTTTTTTTTTTTGCCTTTTTCATCCCACCCCCCACCCCCAGCATCAAGTTCAGATTATAAAACCTTACCTTACACCTCACTGGCTAACAATGTATTACCATTCATTACTGCTCAAAAACTCTCACTGCCATTGGGTCTATTCTGACTCAGGGTGACCCTACAGGACAGGCCAGAACTGCCCCTGGGGGTTTCCTAGATTGTAACTCTTTGCGGGAGTAGAAAATGTCATCTTTCTTCTGTGAAGTGGCTGGTGGTTTTGAACTGCTGACCACTCTTCTACAAAACAACTTTCTTTTGTCTTTTAACTATTCTATCCAAAAAGGATCCCTAGGGCCTGTAACATAATATCTAACTTAATTTTCCAAATTTCTAGAATCACTTACAATAATCTTTTCAAAAAAGTCCTACACTCTCATTAGAAGAATGATAACCATTCCTAGAATCAATTTAGTTTTCATACTTCTCAGTATTATTAAGACTTACCATTCAATTCTTACAATCTCAATTACTAAGAAAATCTGATGAATGAAAAGTCAATTCCCAATAAAGAAAATAGAAGTGATGTTTACCCAGACACAAAATAATGTACAAAACCATCTGGCTAAACATGGCAATTAAGAATGTCCCAATATCAATATCAAGAAATAACTTAAAGCATTGCACTGAATACGTTTACAAAGTGTTTTTACATTAAGAGATTAAAAAGAACTCTGGGTCCCAGATTTTAAGTGACCTAATGGTGAATATTTAACTAAATCAAATTGAACCTTCTAAGATATCTCAAAAATCCCTATATTTGGTCTTCCTTGCACTTCCTAATTACATAAGAAAGCAAATGAATACAATCACTGCAAATAATAATAAAGTATCTAAAGGTCAAGCCATCAACCACATAATCTATAATGCAAATCACGTTATCTGTTGATAAAAAGAACTAATGCTTAAAATCCTTCACAACATTCAGACAAGTTCAAAACTCCTTATAGCTAGTCTTTCAAAATTTGACTCACAATTACTACGCGATCTAATCTATTAAATCATTTCCACTAAAGTATTCAGAAAGGTTATTCCAATTATAATCTGTAGGGAATGTGAAACCATGTGACATTATTACATAAACTAGATGAGAATCAAACATAGAGATATCAAAGGTGAGATTGCCCATCAGTGAAGCTTAATGAATGTGAAATACAGAGTTTTTTGCATAGAAATGTCTACTATTCCCTTATTGTAATTATATCTGCACTTCACAGATAACCATATAATATCATGAATAAGGGCTTATGGTTGGGGATCGGACTGCTAAGAAGTGAGTGCTGGCTATATCAGCTTCCTAACATTTGACCTTGGGCCACTTACTGAACTTCTTCTCTAGGTCTCACTTTTGGCAAATGTGGAAAATGCCTATCGCAGAAGCTTTCTTCACAATGAAATGAAATGTGAAGCAATCCGCACTTTGCCTAAAATATAGTAAGGGCTTGATTTATACACCTCTCATAACTGACAAGTGTAGATCAAAATGAAAATCAGCATTTTCAGATCTGTCTCAAATCCTATTGTCTGAGACAACTTGAAGAGGTTACTTTAAAAAAATTCATTCAATGTGAAGAATAGTAATTATTCATTTGCACAATGCTTAACTTAAAGCAGATGAATATACTTTGAAGGGAAAACGGTAATAAATAAATACTTCTGGCCAAATGGGAGCCCCCAAATCTGTCATTGAACAGTGTTACATTGAACATTGTCTATGTTCCTCTACGAGTTGCAACTATTCTGACCTAAGGATGCTCTAAATCCTAATTTCACCTTCTATCACTGGGCCATCCACTAAGCATTACATAAAAGTGAAGCAAATGAATGAGTACTCTTTGGAGGTACGTAGCAATCCCAAATCTATTTTTTAAAAGACACAATGTAAGACAATCAGTATATTTGACAGTTAGAAAAGAGTCCCCCTTTGCCTTTCATCTTTGAAACAATTCCTTGATACTATTTGCTACAATTTGCAACATTGTAACTCACCTGTTTTTTCAGTTATATCTGAATCTGGAGTGCCTGGCCTGCTAACTTCCCCATCAGCATTCTCCTCTTCAGCACTAAGAGAAATGGGAGAAGAAGGGCCAGCCTGGGGTGGTGGTGGGGTTGCTTCGGGGGCCTCCTCAATCTTACCCCTTTTCTCAAAACGAAAACGGTCCAGGTTGAAAAGACTCATTTTGATAAACCACCACGCTGTGGGGTTGGGGCTAAGAATAAACTATCTGCGGGCGGAAATAAAGAGAAAAAGAGACCATGAAACAACACAAAGCCTTAGCCGTTCATTCCCAAGGCAATAGAGGGCCTACAAATATGCCAGCGTCTCGGGAAGACTGATGGATGCGCCTCATGGTAGAGCCACAAGAATCATAAAGGGGGGGCCAGGTATCTCTTTTCATTTTGCACTACTGCTTTTTTTCATTACCCTTCGACCCCCACCCCTCCTTGCTCGAATCGCAAGCTGACCCTCGTGCAACATCCTCTTACCCCAGCATGCGCGGGCACGTTCCCACTCCAACCCCCCAGCGGGTCGCGCGCCCGCCCACAGCGACAGGCTCCCCGCACTACGGAGCGCTCGGCCTCGAGGGAGGACGTTCCGGGGCCCGAGGCTCGACACTTCGGGGACACAAAGGGGCCAAAGGAGGGGAGCGGCGGACGCCGTGCAGCCGGGCACCCGCCCGGAAGTTGACGCGACGCAACCGCAGCTGAGGGGAAGCTGATAGGACCGGGACCCACGGGAGGGTTCAGGGGTGCGGATGTGCTGGGTCGTCTCTTGTCATGCTTGCTCGTTTCATCTTAGTTTTATACATCTCGCAATATACTTACAGTAGCAGCCTCCGTGCGAAGTAACAAGGTGGGAAAGACAATAATAATTGCTGGCGTAGAGCGACGGTAGCCCGGCCGGGACTTTTCTCAGAGACACCGAAGGAGCGCGCAGTGATGACGCAATACGCAGCCGAGCCTTTCTCTCCGAGCGGGTGCGCGAGAGGAAGACGTCCCGGTGCGCGCGGTTGGGATTGCGGATCAGACCCGCTGCTGCTTCGGGAGCACGCGGTTACTCCTTTTCTCGGCCTTACCAGGGCAATTGTTAGATAATGCAACAATAGTAATAGACGTGATATGACGTGGTGTCTGAAATATACATTGTAATATATAAAGAGTATAGTAGTAATTTGCTAAACGTCTTACATGTATACATTCTTACAAGAAACAGTCTCAAAAAAAGGAAGCTTTGGTTACACGTGGCAATAATGTACCAGAGCTTAAACTCTAAACACTTAGCAGAAGCCTACCGTTTATAAACCCTAGCTCTGTTCTAAATACAGCTCCATTGAGTTCTTTACAAATCAGCAACGTAACAATAGAAGCCCTAGGAAAGAGTGTTTGAAAGATTATAAGCCCTAGCCATCCTAGGGAGTGCTTGTCTTCCCCTCAGGCAACTGCCTGGGAATGGGGAATTCTACCCTGCCCTATAGGGTCATGCCATAAATCAAAATTGACTTGATGGCAGGGGTTTTCGTTTTCTGATTTGGTACCCTTAATGGAAATTGCAGTAAGAGAGCCACAGAGCAACATCCTGATTTAGGTGGTAAAGGGCCCCAGAAACAAACACTTTTCTAATCTGCAATACATACTGTGCTTCGTGGTTTCCTTTGTCATCCATGATCAATTATTAACCACTTGGCCAGGAATCCTTTGGACACAAAGCTTCATACTGATGATGGTCACTCTATATGATTTGTCTTTTGTCCTGTTTAAGACTTAATGAAAGCATCTCTGTAAAAATATTTTTGAATTTGGGGTCTTTTATTCCCTAAAAGAGTAGATATGTTGAACTCTAACACATATGAATTACGTTTTTATTTTTGGCTGGATTGTTCAGTGAGATAATAGCAATTCACTTGTGTCGGTAGAAATAATAGTATATAAGAATATTGACTCTCTTTATTCTGTATCAAAGCTTAAATTCTAAAGTACTTGACTCGCGGAAGGCTGCAGTTTACAGTGGGGAGTCCTAACTCCATATTGAGTCTTGACAGAGTGCTGATGCCATTTGAGTTTTTTCTTGCTGTTAAACTTATAATGTGGCTATACCACAACACCCAGGCAATACAATACTGTAACCCTTTAAATCTGCAATTGTGTGTGTATCCCAATCCTTTCCCCACTACCTAGCAGTGTATTGGTTATATATTGGGTTGTTAACTGCAAGGTCAGCAGTTCAAAACCACCAGCCACTCCTCAGAAGAAAGATGAAACTCTCTACTCCCATTGTAAGTGACAGTGTCAGGAACCCATAGAGGCAGTTCTAGTCTTTCCTATAGGACCGTTATGAGTTGGAATCAACTGAATGGTGGTGAGTTTGGATTTTGGTTTAGATTCCCTTTCTGTGACAGTACAGAACTGGCCTATCACCAATCATGGTTTTATGTTGATTAGCTTTGATTTTGCATTAGAGCTTAAATTATGAACACCCTGGTTTACAGAAGGCTATAGATGACACTGAGAGCCCAAAATCCATTTACAGAGTCCCCACGTAGATTAAACCTCCATTGATTCCTTCTGACCATTATTAACTAAGGATCTGGCATGATTTTGGTCATCTTTGACTTGTTTAAGAAGCATTGGACCTCAGGATTAGAGGAAGGGTTATTGTTGAAAATGAGAAGGACCTAAAGCACTTGCTGATAATGAACAAGGATTGCAGCCTTCAATATGGAATACAACTCAATGTAAAGAAGACCAAAATTCTCACAACTGAATGGATAGGTAGCATCATGAAAAAATGGAGAAAAGGTTAAAGATGTCCAGGATTGTCTTGGCTGGATCCATAAGCAAGCACACGGAATCAGCAGTCAAGAGATCAAAACACAAGTTGCATTGGGTAAATCTGCACAGGACCTCTAAGATATTGAAAAGCAAGGATGTTAGTTTGAGGACTGAGGTACATTTGACTCAAACCATGGTGTTTTCAGTTGCCTCATATACATGTGAAAGTTGCACAATGAATAAGGAAGACCAAAGAAGAATCAATGCATTTGAATTGTAGTACTGGAGAAGAATGTTGCAGGTACCATGAACTGCCAAAAGGACAAACAAGTCTGTCTTGGAAGAATTACCACCAGAGTGCTTCTTAAAGAGTAGCATGATGAGACTTCCACTTATATGCTTTGGACATAGTGTCAGAAGAAAGCAGTTCCTGGAGAGGCACATCATGCTTTGCAATGTGGAGGTGCAGGGGAAAAGAGGGCCTTCCCTCAACAAGATGGATTGCCAAAGTGCTGAAACAATGGGCTCAGGCATAAGAATAACTGTTGTGTCCTGCATATGTTTGCTATTGGTCAGAACTGACTCTGGCACCTAACAATATTAGCTACTCACTAACTGCCATGGAATTGATGCTGACTCAGTGGCCCTACAGGATATAGGGTAGGACAGCCCCATGTGGGTTTCTGGAACTGTAACTCTACAGGAATAGAAAGCCTGTCTTTCTCAGTTTCGAACCACTGACCTTGTAGATCACAGCCCAACACGTGAGCACTACACCAAGTCTCCTTAACTTTAGTTTAGGACATAGATAGTGTTTGCCTCAGGCATAGTGCATTGATAAAGTAGATCACCACCACCTTCTCCAGCCAGTCTAGGGAGTGGTAGTCTTTCTTAGGGGCTTGCCGGGTGTGTCCTTGATGGAGGACAGTATAGGAATTGAATAGTAGTGAGTCATGCCTTATCAGTCTCTCCCTGGCTGCCTTGGTCCAAGACCCATCTTGCAAAGTCTTCTATTTTACATAATATACATGTCCCGATCATGAGCCTGTTCCTGATTCTGTAGTCCCACCTGTAACTATGACGTACTGATCTGCCACTAGTCATGAATTTGTGATAGCACCCTTTGTTCCATACCCTATTTAACTAGCATTCTGACTGTGAATCCATGAACACATGCCATTTTGATCTCATGCCTTTCCCATCCAGATGATATATCAGTGTCTTTGTGTTGTCTTTGTCCCTTTTAAGACCTAATAAATATTCTCCTTAAACTATACTTGAGTCTCTTTTGTACCCTAAAAAACTGTTTCTATCATAAATAATTAGCCCAACCCCATAATGCATCTTTGGATTCTCCTTAGTGTTTGTACTGTGTGCATGCTGTTGATTTCCCTCATTTGGTATGATTACCTTCACCCTTGCCTTATTTCAGGCTTGATTAATAAAATGGTCTCTGTTGAACGTGTTTGAATCTGTGGTCTTTCCCCCTTAGAACAAGATTGTAATGAGGAATGGCTCCAGTGGTGTCTTTAATAATGCATGCCCACAGGTTAATGACCAGGACAGTTTCCAGAGAAGGGGTTTCTCATACCCTACCATTTCCTATAGACCCCAGAAACACTGTCTTGTAAGTGTTCTTGGATTGTAAGCCCTGGGTTTCAATGTAGATCCCTAAAATCTTTATGAAGTCTTGCTGTGTGTGTTTTGTATTGCTGTTGGTTTTTTGTCTCAGAACGCTTAATGCTTTCTGTCTGTCGGCAATTGCAATCGCCAGGTACAGGTTAAATTGCCTTTGAACATCTCTTAAAATGATTAGAGGGTGGGGATAGCAACTGAACTGAGAGGCGGAAACGGAGGTGCAGAAAGGAGATAGGGCTCAGTCAGGAATGAAAAGTAAAGAAAGGCTTTTATTAAGGCAGGGAAGAACTCCCTGGGGATTCCACAACCTATTGAGCTAGGTTAAGGATTATATAATTGAGCTAGGTTAAGGATTATAATTATATATATATATATATAAAATTTCCTTAATATATATATAGTTTGAGCTAAGGACGTATGTACTGATAAAGGGAAGGGAGTTTTTCAGTGCTGTAGCTGCAGGATTTGAGCCAGGATGGGGCCTGTGAGTAAATCATCTTGTGTTTGCAGACTCCCTTCATGCTTCAGTCAGGAATGCGGGGCTGGGTGAGCCCTGCCAGGGGAGATAAGCTCTTTGGAATGCTGGCAGCAGGGGCAGCAAAGTCCAGCAGTTCATCCGTCTTCCTAAGAGGCTAGGGGAAGGGGCTGCCTGGTCCAGCCCCGGCCCAAACATGGAAAAGTCAGAACCTCCCACTAGATTCTAGGGTGCAGCTTTTGCAATGCCTCAAGATTGTAATCTAGACCTCCAGGAGTAAAGTGTCCTGGTGGTGCTTTCGAGCAAGCATGGGATGACTAGCCACAGAGTCAACAGTTCAAGCCCCACTGCTCTACGGGAGAAAGCGAGGCGACCTGTTCCTCTAGAGATGTGTGCCAGGACCTGCCCAGCCACAAAGAAAATGTAAAAGACAAGATGGGATTGGGAGGTCTGATCAGAGATCAGCCTCAAACAACGTCATTATAAAGCTTACATACAATCTGTACGAGGAACTTGGCAGGCAAAGCATTGCTATGTGCCTTATTCAAAAAACTTCATGGTCCATCTCAATCTGAATGGGTACATTTTAATAACCGCCTTGTTTGCCTGCCCTTCAGACAATCACTACTGTGAAGGCTAACACAAAGCCTTGGACCGCGCCCAAATCCCTGACTTCTGGGCAGGACCACC